GACTGACACTGGTACAGAAAGGTTGACACGGGCTACACCTCTTCCCACTGGAGTGTGTGGGCAGAGCTGAAGCCCACCAACACCTTCCCACCATTAAGCCCAAGTGACTGTTTCCTTGCAGCTGGTGTACTTATTTCCTGTAATGAATGGGAATCAAAAACCAAACACACCCACTTTCATAATAAACAATGTTCTGCTCTGCCACCAGGGCCCAAAATCCTGGTGCTCTGATCCAGGCAACCTCTAATGATCTTCACAGAGTTCAGCCTGCAGAAAACCAAAGGGAAAGATGGTGCCATATAGCTAGCAGCATGTGTTGGAGGTAATACAGAGGTGACTAATCCAGAGGGAACTTCCTTGACAGTGCTGGCTCAGAAGATACAAGCCCTTTAACTCCCCAGCAATACAACACGGTGGTCTTTGTAGGGAGACAAACAGAATAATGTCACCTTTTCTTTGCCTTTAGTTTTTCTGACAGTTTGCACTCTGGAAGTTGGCTGTACTTTTACACACATAATCAACAGGTCCTGCTTTAGGACTACAGACTGGAGGCTGAAAGTTACATGGCAGCTACTTAAAACTAAATCCATCCCTTAACATAAATTATTACTTAGCACAGCCCCTACAGCTGCTGGTAGTAGCATTATGAGTACAGCCAAAGACCTAAATAAAAGGGCTGCCCTAATTTAATCTGCAGCGTGGAATTCCTGTTGTGATTCAGCTTTTCGTTCTGTTTCTATAGATGACAAAGAAAATGAAGAAGTTGGAAAAGGATACTGCTACATGGAAATCCAGGTTTGAGAACTGTAACAGGGCATTACTGGACATGATTGAAGAGGTGAGTGGTCTTTTTCTTCTCAGGATGCACCTCTTCCCCTACATAATGCTAACATACATAATACATAATAAACTAGGAGAAGAGATGACCTGAAGCTGCCAAAAGTCAATGAAAAATTTGTTCTTGAATCTAAGGGTCTTTTTTTCAAGCTGCCTTGATAATTAGATGTCATAAAAAAAAAAAAAAAAAAAAAAAAAAAAAAAACCCAACTTTTAGGGCTTTTATCTTCTAGGGCTTTTAGAATGTGCAGAGACATTCATTACGTCCACGAGAAACTGGATTATGTAACTGTGAATTTTAAGTGCTCTAAAAATGTGTGATTGTTAATGCTCTCACATAGAAGTAAATTGGCATTAGTTCACTTCACGCTACTTTCTTTCTGCATAAGAGCATCCACCCAGGGAATTAATGTGCTCTAGCTAATGAACTTTAAATTCACGCCTTTCATTAACTTCCTGTGTAGGCAAACTCTAAGAGCCAAAAGCAGGTACTGTGGCTCACCACAGTTTTAAACATGCTGTCACAGGGGTACTGCAGAGGAAATTCATAAGCATGCTGGAACTCGTTCAAATAAGATAAGAGGCTGCCTGAAGTTTCACCCCAAACTTACACTGAACTTGGACCAGGTCTTTCTGGTTAGCTTTGTAGCTCTGTGCTACTGATATTTCTATGGGTTTCTGTATCTCTTGTTTCCTCACTGTGTTTAGAAGCAAGAAAATGTTCCAATTCAGGCTGCTCTCACAGAACCTAGAAGCAAAAGAAACAAAAAATATAATACAGCTTGTTTTCCCCAAAATTCACACCCATGCCCACCAGAAGTCCAGGTAGGCTTTTGGATGCTTATCTGTATGGACATCCACTATGTTTTTCCATCTCTACAGATCATCAACAGGTATTCATGCAAATATTTTTGAGTGAAATTGATCTGAATCTGTATGGAGAATGTTAATACACTACAGTAACAGGGGTGAATTTCCTCTTGAAGCTTCAGTGCAAAACACCATAGTTATTGTAGAGCAGTTGGTGAAAGCCAGCTACCTGGCAGAGTCCTGTGAGGGCTGCCTAGGTCTCAGATTGTTTCCTAATTGCCAGTTCCACCAATGAATTGCACGCACCCGAACTCAGTCCACACCTTTGTCTGATGTCTTTGACCACAGAAAGCCATGAGGTCCAAGGAATATGAGTGCTTCGTGCTGAAAATCCAGAGACTAGAGAACCTTTGCCGGGCTCTGCAGGAAGAGAGGAATGAACTGTACAAAAAAATAAAGCAAGCACAGTTCCCTGAAGAGGTGAATGGAAATGGCATCTTAGAAGAAGATGACGATGCTGATACGAGCCCTTCCTCCTCTGAGCAGGCGAGCATTGAGCTGCGCACTACTGACGAGAGCATGCTGAAGGAGCTGGCTGAAGCTTTCAGGGTGTCCCACAAGGCAGAGGAGTCCCTCCCAAGCAGCAGCAGCAATGCAGAGACCTGCAGCGCTCAAACATGTAGTGCTGTCCTGACGCCAGAGCTCCCCTCTCCTCTCACCCCACGGTCAGAATCTGGGAATCGCTGTGAGCAGCCCAGCACGAGCACACCAACACCCACTGAACACATGCCAGCACCCACTGGGAGCCCGCCAGCACCCACTGGGAGCCCACCAGTGCCCACTGAAAATATGACAACGCCCACCGAGAATGTGCCAAAGCCCACCGAAAGTATGCCCGCGCTCCCAGAAAGGGTGCCAACACCCACAGAAAGTGTGCCAATACCTCCTGAGAGTGTGCCGGTACCCATGGGGAATACACCAAAACCTATTGAAATCATGGCAGCAACCCCTGAAAACGTGCCAACACCCACACAAAACATGCCCACTCCCCTTGGGAGTATGCCAGTACCTATGAAAAGTGCACCAGAAGCTGCAGAACATGTGGATGATCCAGTAGAGCAGTCTGTCCAAGGTCAGTCTGCAGAGCAAACAGGGGACACAGACATGGAAGCAGTGGATTGAAGACACTGGTGTGCCCAGGCTTGTCTTCTACAAACCACAGCTCTACTTTGTCCTCTAAATTGATACCTTTTTTTTTTTTAAGAAACAAAAAGTGGGTGCTAAAACACACTCACATATCTGTAGGCAAATGTAATACACTTCTCTTTGCTACCACTATCCAGTAATAACAGGTCTGTAAATTTTGCTGTCCTTCACCTGCTTGAAGCATAGTATTTTCTTAATGACAGGAAAGTGCAATGAAATTACAGGATCTTTTTTCCCAGCCATAATGAGTCATCTCATTCAGCAAAATAATTTTAAAGTGTTGAAGTTTCATGTTTCAAAAATCATTGCAATTCACATACATATATTTAAAGACTCATAATTAATTGTATCTATTTGTTAGGACATTGTATATAAGATGGCCCACTTGGACACATAGTGATTTTAATAAATTAGGTGAAAGGAATTTGTAATTATAAAGCAAAATAGTGAAACCATCAATGTGGTCAGCCATATCCAAGGAGAGATGCAATAACAAAAAGTGAATTTTTGTACAAGTAAACTACCACTCAGCTCTATGTGACCTGAACGCCCACAAGCTCTCAGCCTTACCTTGAATTGGTCTTTTCTGCTTAGTGTTCTAAAAGAGGTTTTGTTTTCAACAGAACTACAGGGCAGGGGAGAAGATCTTTTCTAGATTCCTCAGGAAATGACAGAAAACAACAGCAATTTCCAAATTGATGGCAATTCCCAAGGTAGGGGTCATAACTCACTTTCTGCATCCATCACAAATCTGCTAGTTTGTCATACTATTTGGGATCATGAGCCCAACAGAGGGGCTTATGGCTTATTCCAGCTCACAAATGAGGTCAGAAGTTCAGAAGTTGGTTGCAGATGCTGGCTTCTAGGGCAGGAGCAGAAGGCAGAGTGGAGCTCCACTAAAAGGTACCAGGATGTATTCCAGAAGATACCCCTGAGATCATGCTTCCAGATCATCCCATCTCTCACAGTCACAGCCACATGAACCTCTTCACCACAGCTTCCTCCTGGCACTGCTGCATGTGCTGATGCTCCCAGGAGAAGGGCGAGCACGCTTGCCTGTCACCCCCTTCACTGGAGTCGGGCACAAGTAAATAGCCCAGAAGCAAACAGGTAGCAGGAATCCCTCTCACAGACACCTTCGGGGAGTGGCTACATTCTCATCCCCTCTCTTGTCTAACCGGCTCTTCCCATCTGCCTGCCAACACACCACTGCTTGATAATGTATCCACCTTGTCAGAAACTGGTTGATCCTGGCACCGAGAACAAAGATAAAGGAAGCGGGCAAGAGAGGGTACCTACCGAGACAGCTGTACGGTCTTCAAGCAAGGAGATTAAGAAGGCTTTCTGGAAGGTTAAAAAAATCCTGCTGGCACATTTCTTGTTTCCCACCCCCTTCCTCCGAATTCAACCTAGGCCTCTTGGAGTTTGAGCTGGATAGCTGAAGAATTTGAAAAGGGCAATTAAACAAGATGTCCAGAGGCTGGAAAGGGAAGTGTTACAATCAAACAAACCCATGTTTATAGACAAATCCCAAGAAGCCCGGAAGACAAAGTGACTCATTCAAGCCGAAATTGAAATACAGGTGAACCAAGAGAAAAGGTGCCATCTTCAGCAGACCATGGGAGACTGTGGTCACAGAGTCCTTCTGATGCATCACCCTCCAAAAGCGGGGTTTGACTCTTTACTTGCTGCCGACATGGTCTGCACCCTGGTTGCGTATGTCTGTGTCTGCACCGCTTGGCCCAGCCTTTTCGAGTGCTAACTGTTGGAGTATACAGAGCGTGATTTGCAAAAGTTGGTTTTGATATGGCCTTACAAGTAGCTATTATGGCTACAGTTTTCAAGTGTGGATGCCTTACGTTAGATACCAAGACTGACAGGATTTATTTCATGTCTTTAATCACCTGAAAGTAGATCACTCAAGTCTTAGTTACCTTAAGCTCCTTTTATAAGCAGTGGAGAACAGGTATCTTTTCAGGACAAGTCATCTCATGGTAAGACTGGCATCCAAGACAGAAGAAATTACTTTCTCTCTGAATATGCCATTTCTCTTCACTGATTCTAGAGCCAGCCTAAGACAACTAGCTTAAATTAAAATGTCTATTATTAGGTGTCTAAATTAGGCAAGATGAATCCCATCAAACATTCAGATTCAAAGCCCTAAGCAAACGGCCATCTCTGAAAACCAAACCACTTATGTGCCTGTGAAAATGTTAACCTATAACAAATCCTTGTCCTAAGATAAGAAGTTATACTCACCTGATTTACTTTTTTTAGTTTCCATTGACTTGAGTCTGTAGAAATCTAGTTTCCATTACAAGTACAAGTTTTGTTTGTTGTTAGGGTGACTTTTAAAATTAATGCAATTTATATACCCTTTTTTTTTTTTTTTTCTTTCTTGGTCTTGTTTGATTCTGTTGCCATTTTAGTAACTACTTGCATGAAACCAACTTCTTTTTATTCAAGTAGGCCCTTAGAATGCCTTTAATTGTTGAAGTTTTCTTATACATTCAAATATTCAATTACATAATAATGATGAACAACGTAGCCTTGCAACTTTAACTTGGTTCCATTTTGCATAATCATTATGGTTGCATCTTTAATTATATAATTGTTGCCTCATACCTTCCAACTTCAGCAAGCAGGGCGACAAGGATCCTACGGATAAAAACTTCCTACATAGTCATGATTGATTCTTACAGCATCATCCCTCATGAATAATTACACAACCTTCTGGGAATATCACTCCCACTCTATTCCGCCTTCCTCATTTTCACCCTTTTAATTCTTGCATCTAAAACTGCACTCACATACTTGCAATTCCTATTACTCTGTGAGTTTCTACCCACGTACCTGTTGCTTCTCTTCTTCCATATCATCTACCAACTGCATTTTATCCCAGCAGTTTCCTCCTCATTCTCAGTGCATACATACAACACTGAAATCACAGGAGAGCGACCCTCCTGGCTTTTAGTTCCAGGATTTGGCCTCACATCTTTGCAAAAGATGGGAGAAAAAATTCTAGGGAAAATTCTGGCTGATCCCAGGCTGGATGGAGCATTTATAGTCACATTGTGGGGATGATTTATGTGTAATGTCATGGCCTATAGAGCTGTGGGAGGCTGGAGGACCCTCAGTAGAGGCAGAAAATCTATAAAACTTCACCATGCACCTGTTCATCTTCCATTGCATCAGACTAGCAGTTTAAGCCACCATCACCATCACAGACTTCTGTGTGTTAACCTACTTTCTCTCACTCTTCTTCAACATTAATTGCTGGCCTCCTCTTGCTCTCTCCTTGTACTGGTACCCAATACAAAAGCTGCCTCTGCATGGTAGTAGTGTCCTCATGAAAAGCCTTTGGGATTGCAGTCTGTACATCAGCTCTGCTGCACTTCCTCTCAGGTACCTCGGCACTCAAGACACAGAAACCCACCACATTTCTGTGCTCATTCAGCGGCAGTAAGTAGCAGTGAGACACGCGTCTTCCCTGCTGTTCATCCTTATCATCATTCTCCTACTGATACTGCCAGTCTCATCAATCCTGGTGTGTGCTGTGGTTGCCTCCTTTAGTCTTGCTTTTATTTCACACAGTTATTCCCATACCACCAGGCACAGATCTGGGGGGAGGAGAGGTAGTGATTGTAGCTATATCCTCCTTACTAAAACCATCATTGCTGCGCTGCTTCTGAACCAGCAACAGCCTTTATTTGCAAAAGTTGCAAGGAAAGAAAAAAGTATTTTCCCTTTCTGCATGTCTGACCTTTGTCACCTCAAAAATTTAACAGCTCCCCTGCTGAAAATGTAGAACACAACATTTTTCAATAAGCCAGAGTTTATCCAAATGTGAGGGGATTTTCGTGATGACAGCTAAAATCACATTCACGATGCTAACACGACCTTCTCACCTAATTTCTGATCCCTGTGGCAGACCACGGTAATGATAAATCTTGTTGATGAGAGATTAGTAAGAAACAGCTGATCTGTTTAAGCTTAACTGTTCCCACAAAACTGAACAGAAGTAGATGCAGGCATGGAATATACAATCCAGATGACAGAACTGCAGCAATAGTGCAAGCGACACAAAATAGGGATGTATGATAAAATACAGTGAAACTTTCATTATAGGCTTCACTATTAATGTCATCTTTAAATACACTTTGTCAATCAGATTGAAATCAACCACATGCACAGCAGTCTCCAGATTCACACCGCCCCGCTCTCTTTGCAACGAACATCATTGCATTTATCAGTATTGAATTTAGACTTTTCTTTTTGCTTTATAAGGAAATGGCAGCAGGACTGATTCCTCTCCTGGGTCCACACACTACCCCTGCATTGCCATTTATTTCATTTCAACCATGACCTTTGCTTAGCCAAGGGGCAAGCATAAGGAATGGAGATAACCCTGCCCGCGAGCCAGCCAGCCCGGCTGAGGCACCACAATGCAGCACCTGCCAGCTGGATGAGGGAGTCAGGAGGACAGGGAAGGGCAGACACAGAGAAAGGGTGTTTGCTGCACTGGCAGTATCCCCTTCCCCTGAATTTTTTGCACTAACATGGTTCACTAGTGTGCAACGCTGTTTTTTCCACTTAGAAAAGAGTTATTGCATCCCTTTTCAAGATGTAGGAGGAGATGATGGTTGTGGCTGTGGCAGGACAGTGCTGGACCAGCATTCAAACCTCGGGGAAACCCAGAAACATCAACGTCCACAGTCCCCACTGGCTCACAGCTTCACGTGGCTGGCAGCTTGGGTCACCCTGCAGCCCTGGCCACTCATCATACTTGACCCAACAGTGACTCAAGTGGTAATTGCTTATGGGCCGCAGATGGCTGAACAAACCATGGGCCAGCTCCCCCTCCGCAGGCATGGCAAGGAGTGGCAGAGGATCTTACACTTTGGCCCCGACTATAGGAGAGGAGTGGCAAAGAAAGATGCCAGGCTGTATGCCATTTGTGAGCAATTTTCTACATC